GACTCAATCTTGACCCAAACTCCACTATGTTCTGTCTCAGACTCATGTTGGACAAGATAAATGATTTTGACTACAGCTCTGCCTTGTGCACATCATTGAATTTGTCTTATCTCTATGTCTTGAATTATGCATACTTGTATATGATCTTCACATACGATGTCCTTGCATCAAAGCGATGCAGAATTTAAAGTACTGTAGGTCTAATGGAAATTTGATTTTAGTATTTAAGAGGGTATTTCTGTTACCTTCAAGGCTGCATTGATTTTTTTTTTTGACAAAAGACTTTTGTTGTTATATATGGCAACACTGTAACAGTGTGATATATTATCTATAGCAGAGTGTTTGTGTGGAAGCTAAAATAAATGTCTAACATGCAGTCAATTGGGTGAATGACCTGTATTCAGTCTGAAGATTTCCCGTTCACACAGATTCCCACTGAATGGCTACTGTGCTACATTGTGTGGTTTTTTAATGTTCTAATACAAATACAATATATTATTATTGTACAAAATACAATAGGTTTATTTCAAGCATTAATTACAATTGCTGTTTATTGTCTCATACAGAATACGTAGTGCCCAACCCACATGGACTTATAAGACAACAAAAAATACTGCTGCAGTTGTGAAACATTTCCATTAACATAACTTCTTACATTACATTTCAAACTGAGAACTTGAACTGTAATTGTTATTTATGTAAAGGCGTGGGGAGTTTTGTTACATTAATCCCTGTTAATCCCTGTTTCAATATCTTCTCCACACCCCAGTTGCACAAAAAGCTAATTTAAAGATACTGAGTCTACATTATTGAATCAGAATTCATAAATCTAACAAAAACATTCCAACAATGTATGTAATAATGATTAAGGAAAGATTTGAAAGTCAGGAAAGTGAGTTTAGGTTAAGTTCATCTGCAGATTACCAGCCCACATGTCCCTCTGGAGGGCCAGATATTTTTCTGTAATGGTACACCATTCACCCATAGAGGATTCTGGAGGTGAGACTAAGCTCTTATCCAGCAGCTGTCCAGTGAACTGAACCAAATATTAAACTTCACAGATAGTGATAAAGCAGCAGCTTTGCAGAGCAGAGACAGAGCAGCAACAGAGCAGCACTTTTAAAGGACCGGTGTGTAGGATTTAGTGCCATCTAGCGGTGAAGTGGCAAACTGCAACCAATTGAATACATACAAGGCATGCTTAATGTGCAAAATGTAAATCAACTTATTACATATTTTGAGATTAGTTCAAACCTACTAGAGTTCTCTTGCAACAAAATAATAGCTTACAGCCTTTAAAACATTAAAGATTGGCCTATGCAAATAGGCTTTGGCCTGTGATGGGCTAATGCAAGATGCTTGGTCCCTGTGCGCACTCGATATGCCCTCTTTATGTTACACACTTGACCCTCTCCCACTACCGAAGATACAGCAGCTCTCTCTTGTTCAGCTCTCTCCTCATCCCCATGGCCATCGGATTTCATGGTCCATGTGAATTTCAAGTATTGAAATTAAATCATACACCCCGCCTCTTATATGAGAAGTCTGTTACAAATCTGTATAATATTTTAGGAAATTATGGTGGGTGTTTCTATAGTGCTGCTCTGCGATAGCTGATGAAATCCATCATATGCTGCAATTTCTGCCGTTAGTTCACCAAGGGAAATGTTTTGGATAAAGTATGAATCCAATTTTCTTGCACACTTTCACTTGTTTTACTCACTTTGCATCTGCGTTGTTCAATCTGGTGTATTATTGGCAGACATCATGTTGTGTTTTCATATTCAGATCGTAGAGCTTACAACAGATGAATTCAGTGGGCCTTAATGAGGTTAACGTACCATCTGTATCAATGGTCATTGCGCAATCCTACAAGGTCATGTGCTTTGAATTCATGCTGGTTTGTGTTAATTACAATAAGCTTTCAACGTGTTTACTCATTGTTTTATTCAGTTTATTTATTCCCTGGCCAATGGAAAGCCACATCCACTTATACTGATTCAGTATCTGATTTTCTTGTCGCCAAACCCAAGGTTTCTGTTCTTTTCTCAGATAGTGAAAGAATAGCATATTACTGCGGAAGTCCCATGTCCCACTGCTCCCTTTTGTTGTTTACTGTTCTATATAGGGCATGCTGGTGAGTGGGTCAAAGATAGCAAATAGGAGTGTATAGAAGATGAGAAGCACACAGGAAATGCTGTGTATTGAGTTGCAGCTGTGACCTTTGTACCCCACTGAAGTCATGGAGTTTCTCCGATCTGAGTGACATTGGAAATTCTGCACCCTGGAGTTTTGAGAATTGCTTTATACAAGAGCAGTGGTTTCATTAGTACAGTACATTATGTAAAGGTCATGTTGAATGGTACAGCCATGGTTGGAGCACAGGCTGATCGTATTGCTGAGCATGTCACTTCAAAGAGCTTCTTTATAACCCAAAAATCTCAGTGCCAATCCAGGTCTAACCTTTCCTGGTTTAACTCTACTTGAAATGACCTCTAATGAAATATTATTCCATTTAAATTATTGAATTGACATTAAATTTGGATGTCCCCAGAATATGATCTGAGGACAATCTGACTTGGCTTCCAGACAAAGACTACACTTTTCCATTTATTTTACACTTTGATTCTTGAAAAGATAATTGTTAGATTTCCATGAAATGTGCTGTGGATAATCATGTTCCTTGGTGGATGAATCCTAATGATTTTGATGACCCTCCGACTTGTCCTCTAGCAGCATCGTTCAGATATCTCGAAAATATATTTTTACAGACAGTTTCTCACATATAGGCTATTTGACAAGATATCAACAAAATCCATTTAATACTTGGCTTGTGAATAGAGCTGTCAACTGTTTTACTGTAGTACGACAGGTGCTGAACATTTTCTAGACACAAAAAAAATGTCTGTCACTACTAATCTCAACAGATGTTGTGCCAGGACTTCTTTTGTTGCAATGACTTTCCCCACATATTGAAATGTGCGTTTCTTTCAGATGTGTGAATAAGATTTTTTTGTTTTCATGTTGATTTAGAGTCTTATAAGGACAATGATAGAACATAAAACAGGATAGTGATACTGATTTGTCTTTTTTTTATTTCATTAATATAACTGTATATATGTATTTTTTTAGTATCCCTTATAAAACAAGAGTTTGTCTTCAGTATCAGACATCTGCTGCCTGCAGTCACCCCCAGCTTAGTGTCTCCCAATTTACATATAAAAGCATTCAAATCATCTTATCTGATAATCATAATGTCGCACTTCATATGCAGACTGTGGAGACCCTGATGAGTAAAGATTCAACTTGAACTTTGAGCTGAGGGTTTGCAGGTCTCAGAGAACGTTGCATTGTAATTTGCTGGAGGTTTTTAACTGACCTATACTGCTTAACTTGTAAAGCCATCAGCTGTTGCCTCTGCCTCTCGGAAATGTTTGTATTATTCACCTGAACTGAGCAGGTTTGTGGGAAATTAAAGGTGTTAAAAACGTTTTAATTCCTTAAGGAGCCCTGATTCCTACCCACTTAGCTCCCCTGAAACTATAAGACAATGAGCTAACTACAACAATATCTGGCTCTGAAACACTTAAGAGAATGATGAAGTGTAATAATTCAATAACAGCCCACGCTCAAATTGCTGTGTGGCCTGGTTTTTCAATTTCATGCTTCTGCAGAAACTGCTAGGATTTAAAAGACCAGCAGATAGTAAAAATGTTTTCTCTGGTAGACAGATACAAAGCTACAAATGTCTAAAACATACAAATGTCTTTTTTTTTTTTGTCATAGTGCTCTAACATAGCCAACATTTTGATGAGTTGTTTTGTCCATTCAATAGACATTTGTGGGAAAGTAGCAGAAAGCTCAGCTACTATTTTTTCAAATATATATTAAATCACATTGTTAGCCCTTTCTTGGTAATGGTTCATTATAAAAATCACTTGAACTAAAGTTGGAATAGAAATATAGGAATGTCCAAGTTTGCAAGAGTATCTGTTCTTGTTTTTGATCATCTGCCTCTGAGCAAACATGCTCCTGAAAGCCCAAAAGGACAGAGATTAGAGGTCAGATGTTGGTTAGATTTTGGTGCTAACTGCAGTTTAAAGGATAGTTTAACATTTTACTATCTGAAAAACAACACTTAGTATGCCTACGTGGAAGACACAGGACAAAATCCACCATCCTTGTTCTGTGTAATTATGCATTCTAAAGTTCAGTTAAGCTTGAAAGTGTATCTTCAAAAGTTAGTCTTTTTAACAAAGACTGAGATGCAGAGGAGGGACTGTAGCATACAACAGGACATTTTGTGCTAAAAAGTTGGGATGCAACAATCCAGCTTTGTCTCTTTCTCAGCCTCATTCCAACACCGCAACTCAGAGCATCTGTATGATGAACGATTTGGCTTAACTTTATGATGGAGCTTTGCACAGATCGAGGACTGTAGGCTTTGTCTGCAATCTCTTATATTAGAATCACAATAGGAAATATTATTTTCAGGCCCAGTATGGAAGCAAGAAAGAGTTAAATGACCACAGATTGCTTTGTTGTACTTGTTGGCAGGTGAGCATTGTTTTAAGACATGTGAGCATACCCTTTAAATACACTTGCACCACAATAATCTAAATTGACGTAATCTATAAATATGGTTGTGAAAGAAACAACCAGAGTGGCTTTAATGCGAAGCCAGCATCCAAACAGATACTCGTGTGGCCAAGAATATTTGCTATTTTTTTCAGCATCTACAAGCTTTGATCAGAAAGAAATCTTCTCTAACCATTTCCTGTGTTGAAGGACAAAATAACATGAGCACCATGTATGGGATTACTCTCATGTGTTACTATTCAACTTAAAGGACATATCTTAGGATGTTATGATGTTAAGAAGCTTACAATCCTCACATAATGTCTATGATACACTCTGTAATTATGTAACAGAATGAAGTCTGTATCTAACTCCTGTGTGTAACCTCTCGTTCTCTCTCTCTCTCTCTGCCACCCACACAGGAACACAATGTGTTCGAGATCGGCTAACGTTTCGCTTCTGTCAGACTCTCCGCTGGCTTGGCCGTTGCCACTTGTCCAACGTTCGAGCACAGTGCTGCAAAACCTGCAGCCAGCGTTCCCGCTCCAGCAGCATGTCTCACCGTTGAGGTGCAACAAAATAAACACACGTCTCATCAACAGGAATACTGACTGCACCACTGAATCAGCAATTAATCATCAAGACAACCTGGACCGTTTTCAGATTTATTCACCACTACAGACTAATTATGAATTAGTCCGACGCCAAAACTCTGCATGTTTCGGCTGGTGAAATTATTATAGAGGGCTGAAATTAATTGGAAATGTAGCAAAGCATAGCCTCAAAACAATGAGAATGTAAATATTTGTTTGCACTTTTTATATTATACAGTTTTACCATTTATGGATCAGGAGTTCTTTGTAACAGATATGGTGCAACATAAGGGGTTTCTCGTCAATGTAGCCTGCTTCGTAATGCTATTACACTATTATACATGTAGATAAACCACTCGTTAACCTTTATGGTTGGTACAATGCTTTCATTTTTACTGACAGCAGCAGAAACCGAACAGAATAAAACAGACAGGTATACAATTGTTTTGTGTGTTATGAATCAAAAAACTAAGTGGTGCATAAATGCTTGATGTGACATTTAAAAATAATTGACCGTTAGCTAAACCCTGCCCCCCTTACTTACTATTGCTACACCTGTAATGCAGTGGCAGAAAACACAAAAACAGACTTCTCGTTTCTAATGGAAAAAGTAACAGCATTGTTCTTGTACTGCAGTAAAGAGGACTGTTTTTTAGTTTGGATGCCTAGTTTAAATGCATAGAAGCTGTTTGGATTCAAGGTCTATGTTCATATTAGACAATGTGTGTTTACTTTGAATGTTACAATAGAATAGGCTTTAGGGATGCTGACTAACTGATGTGTTTGGCAAATGTAACACATGATTATCCGGGTGTTAAGCTGAGTTCCTAACCTCACAAAATACTTGGCCTTGCAAGTAGATGTAGATAGCTAGGCATGCAATGTTTGCAGCTGACATTAGAGCACACTGTTAAATTCATGCCTTACACTTTTGGTTTTGCAAAGAATAAAAAGACACTGCTCTCAAAACCTTTGACAGCCCCATTCACTTCACAGACCTGCAGCGCCTAGCTGCAGTTACTAAGCTATGATGGTACAATCGCTGTTCAGAGGCGGGGGTTTAGCAACGGTCAATTGGCATATTTAATGTCCATAGCAGCTTGTAAAAAAGCTTATTTTGGCTTTACCACACAGATTTTTAAAAGTCATTACACATCGAGGTAAATGTGAAAAGTGGAGCTGCAGGAAATACTTGGTGCTAGAGGCCGCACAGGCTCCAAACGTTTCGGGTCAGGTATTTGGGCAGGCCCAGTGCCTTATCTACTTGAATATTGGATCATTTGATGTCATTATTTTTATTAACCACTTGATTGAAGTCAAATTCAGCTTTTCAGAATACATGTTTTTTTTTTATTCTTTGGAACGGAGGGAATAAGGTCAGTGTCATACATTAGGTATATATTGTATTTTATACTTTTGCAGCGGTGGTTTTTAGTACACTTCACTCTGTCATATTTTCATTCTTTCAGAATTGTTGTTAGCACTGACACGTACATAAGCTGCCGTTAGGAGTCTTTTCATCAGGAATTGAAAAGCAGCTCAGGCTTATCAATGGAGTCTAGCCCAGGGAGCTGCAATGCTATCATATCCTCCTGTATTTCTTTATGCTGTTTAATGTAAAAAAAAATTAGAAGTAAAGGAGAAAAAGAGGGAAAAAAATAATTTCATACTTTTGTAAAATACTGTAAATTGGGAGAATTTACAGTAAAATATGTTGATTGTTGCATGAATAGAGCTGTTGAAGCAGCTGGAGGAGTGGAGCATGAACTCTCTGTCTGGACTTGGGGGGGGGTTGTGTAGATGGAACGAATTTGTTCAAGGTAATAATAATAACCTTATAATAATCTCATATGTAGCAACCTTTTGTTAAGTAATGTATAGTACATTCTCTCCTCAGATAACTGTATACACAAGCAACACAGGAACCAAGATACAATTGAGTGTAGTTACATAATCACACAGTTGGAAGTCATCAGTGATTATTATTTGATAAAGCAGTTATAATTTAATTTTAATGCTTATGTAAATTATACCTGCCTTGTCTACATAATATATATTAATGTAAAGGGCTATTGATTGGAAGAAAAAATGTGTTTTGAATAACTTTTTATTTAAGGTTTACAGGTATAGGTGCTGGAAACAAGCAATTAAAGCCTTGTTCAGTTTAATATCTCAAAATTACTTCCATTTGAAATTTTCCTCAGGATGAATATTGAATTGAACTGATCGTACGATAAGTCCCTCCCTTCTTGGTTTCAGTTACTATGTCTGTCAAGCTCTTTATTCAAGTGTGGCACATACAGAGTTAAATGGTGGCAGACTTGCCAATCAAAAGTTAAATCTAAATTCATTTTTTCAACACTGGGTCATTGATGTCAGTCAGAAAAAGACAAAAACAGGTTTCTCAGTTGTAGTCAATGACCATTGATACTACCGACTGAAATAATAACGGTCACTTGCTGATTTTATTTGAGTAAAAAGTTGGTCAAACTCTGCGTACACCTAAGTATTTGATGTGTCCAACTGACCCTGCTAAAGGGTTATCAGCATGCTACATACAAGCCCTATTCGTGTCCTCAACGTCCATATGCTACTGTGTGATTCGACCACATAGCGTTCCCTATATATGTTATCCAGCAGCAGGTTGTATCATAAAAGATAGTTTATTTGGCCCCCACATATGTCGTCTGCCTGCCCACAAAGATACAATGCATGTCAGCGGTGTAACCAAAATTTGAATCCAATATTGTCAGACTAAGCCAAGCCCTGGCGTGGCTGCACAATAACGTATGATTCAATAGAGAGGAGGGTAAAGTGGAACAGTGTGGAAAAACTAGATGTAAACGTCTGTTTTATCTTTCAAGGTAAAATACAGACAATAGCAACATGGACATACCTTTGAAGCTGGATATTGGGTCCAAAACAACATTACATTTCCTCCTCAAGGTTAGGCAGGGAATGTTTAAGAGACTGAAATATGGAGTTATGTGGAGTGCTGAGGTCACAGATACGTCAGAAGGTCCCAGGCAAAAAGTCTGCATGCTCATCATGTAGAAGATAGTATGTTTCACAACAGGTTTCATGGATGAGGAACATGTGGGTCTGTCAATTGTACCTCTAATGAATCCTCCCAAATCCAATAAGGAGGAGGACAGAACCACTAACCAATGACAAAGTAGCACATGGGACCAGCTAACACATAACAACAGCTTGACAACATAATGTAGTTTGCTAATGTTAAGCCACCCCTTTGGCTGTAGTAGTAATGCTAATGTGCTGCCGTAGGCAGTAAGGGAAGTCAGGCATGCTAATGTCAGCAGCTTAACCTGGAGCAATTGGCCTTTTTTACTGCAGACATTTAGGCAGATGCACATTGTTGATGTTCTTAATTACACCTGTGGTTCCTGCTCGGACAAAGCTGTAAAGGTCTTTTTATTCCTTACACGTTTGCTCTTTCTTGTTTTTGGAGGTAAAAAAAAAAACTACTTGTAAACTGCAAGTTCTTCCTTTATTTAGAGGGAATTTAGACTCCAAAGCTTAATTACAATTATTAAACTGATTGGACAATCAGGGGAGGGCTGTAATAAAGGGTCAATCATATTTGATGCATTTGTTTTCCATCTATAAATATATTCCCACACAGTTGCTGTTTGACTGCAGTGTAAAGCAGCAACTAGGGTTGCAAAGGGGCGGACATTTTCCGGTAAATTTCCGGAAACTTTCCAGAAACTTGTCATGTAAAGATAAACTGGGGAATGGAAACATTCCAATTTGGAAACTGTCATGGAAATTAATGGGCATTTTGGGAATTAATGGGAAATTATGGGAAATAATGGGAATTAACTGGAAAAGTTGGGTAATTCATACAATATTGAAATGTATTTTCTTTGTATTTGTACTACGTTGGTCGTTTTAATGTCACCAATTTATGCATTGCATGGTGTTGCTGTGCGTGCAATACAATGTAAAGTTTTGTTTTCGAGCTGGTTTGCTAAAAAGGCTAATGTAGCTAACAGTAACACTAGCCTGCCACTGCCCCTGGAGGCCCCTTGTTGTCCCTGGTGGCCCCTGGAGGCTCGAGAGAAACGCCACAGCACTTGTTGAAACTGAAATCGGCGAAAATGGCAAAATATTATTGAAATGTAAGACTTGCAATAACGGAATTACTTGAAATGTTAGTGTTTCTGTAGCAAAACATTATTATTATTTCACATTGAGCTTGTTTAGATGAGCCACAAGCAATAACAACACAGCTGCTGCACTGGTGGCGTCCATGTTCTTTCCCGACTCGTAATGCCCAAAGACAAATGGAACGCTATAAGTGTTACAGAGCAACTCGGGCGGGGGATTTACGAGACAAATGGACAGCACCATAAGTAGTAGCCCAAACCATTGACCTTTAGCTTAACATATGATGGTAGTGAGCATGCTGCCTTTGATTTACTATGGCTGTGGTTATGGTTATATGCGTACAATACAATTAACCCAAATAGGTTAATAGCAATGGGTTATGTATTACCCCCCCCCAAAAAAAGAAAAAATCTCCCATATTTTAAAAAATAAATGTTGGCGAGTATGTAGTAGCCTATGCTGATTACTGCGTGTGTGCATGTCATTGACGAATATAGGGAGGACATTCAACTGAAGATGCATTAAATCAGGTTGTTTTAAGCAAGATTATCCTGCAATATGTTTCTTTTCAACTACATGCAAGTTCCCTGTTATAGACTAACAGTACAAGCAATATTAAAAATATCCAGTTTATTCCCATTAATTCCCATGGAAAGTTTCCAACTTTGAAGATTCCCGGAATTTTGCAACCCTAGCAGCAACTAAGATCATCTTATTTTTTCCCAGTTCAGTTTGTTGAACTGATTGTTTCTGTACTTTTTCTGTTTTTAAAGATTCATATTTGTACATGTATTGGATTATGTTGGTTTTCAAGCACAAAATCAAGACTATGTTTTGCCAAGTGGCTAAAATGATGCTTACCTGCCCACAGTTGCTATGTACAGTAATCCTCATAGAAATGACATAATGTAAGTTGTAGTAGTGATACAACATTTACATGTTTTGGACAAAATGTTATTCTTTTATTAATCATTAATGTCTTATTACATATGGATATTTATACACTGTGCTTTATACTACAAAATAAAACTAAATTAAAACTTGCTTATATAAATTCTAACTAATTTGTTGGACTTGGGGGGGCAGGGTTGACAAAGTGTGTACAGACAATTTAATTTTATCCCGTCAAAGAATGACACGCCAAACCGGTTACATACAGTTACAAAACAGTACAACCGCAATGCTTTACAACGTGTTCAGTCATGTGCGGTGTATGTCAAGTCAGTTCCCCATCATGGCTGTTGTTCTGAAGTTCTTTCCTTGAAAGATCAGTAATCGACAGGTGGCAGTGTCACCATCTGGGTGAACTCTTCATAGTTGACGGTCCCGTTTGACTTGACGTTTGCCTCTTTGAAGAGCTCATCCACTAGACAGAGACAGAGGAAACAGCTTTGTAAGTGAACCTGAAGATCGGGGAGCGCTGCCTGAAAACTCATCTGTCTCCCACGATTATTCAGAAAGCAGAGGTTAAAGAATCCCTACTGGTCTTTGACTGTGGGAGTTTTTGAGTGTCTGACAACAACTCTGTCAAAGTGTAGAGCTGGCACAAACCATAACCTCTGTGCTGACTGTGAGTGCACTTCTTATTCATAGAGTGATTAGCAAAACTGAAATTAACTTATTAATGGGGATTCCTACTCCATGTGAAAGCTTAGAAATCAGAGGAAAATATTGTACTTTTTACTACTACTATTATTCTATTATCTGTTACTACTATTTATTCAACAACTGTAGTTACTGGTTACTATTTTATTTTAGATTAAAAATATGATCAGTTTAGTATCATTGTTAGAGATTAAACTGTAAAGTAGTTTAAATTAGTTCCATCTCAACCAGCTACAACAGTAAAATGTCTAATTAATGCATCAAAAACCATAATTAAACAAAATAAAAGGTATGATTACTACTAGTTAGTTTTACGTGAACAACAGTACATTCCTCATATGGCAAATCCTTTAAATGTATTTCCCCATCTCCTTTTGAACCCCCTGTGTAAATCTGTACTCTCAATTTACAAATCCGTGCGCAAGGAACTGTTCCCTCGGTTTGGCAATGTGTGCTCATGTGCACTCTGGGCTGGTAGCCAACAGCAGGAGGGTTATATGGCTTTACACCAGAAGATGTCACTATACAATGAGAAACAAGTTGCAGTCATTTAGTATAATATCTCTTACCCACATAGATTTTATAGATAATGCATTGTAATTTTTGTTGTGATTTTAGATTTTTTACACACTAGCGAGTAATAAAAACATGCACAGATTGCAGAACAGTGGGCTCGTTTTACAGATTTGCGGTCACAGGTTATGAATCCGAGAGTATGGTTTATGAACCCTGCACGCAACTTTGTAAAACAAGTTCAGATTTATATATTTTGACCCCGGAGGGGGGGGGGGCTTCCGTAGTTTTAGCATCTCAGTCAGTCTTTCTTTTTTTAAATTCAAACCAAAAATCCCCTGAATGCCAATGGTGAATACTCACGCTGGTGTATTAGAGCAGCAACAGTGAGAATTGCTACAGTAAGTAGCTGAACGGCTTCAAAGCACTATTGTCGGCTCTTTTAGTACAGTGGCATCACTATCTGCTTCAGTAATTCGGGAATCCGTCAACTTGATGGAAGTCTCCCCACTGGGAAGTTGTGGAGCCCCACTGCTTTATGTGCGCAGCACCCATCCAGAGGCAGTACACTGACAGTACTTTGAATTAAATCTTTATGTTGCATTGAAGCCAGGAACTGTATGAATGACTGATCTTGGGCTTTCAAAAACAAATGGCATCAAAATCAATCCCCTGAAATGTAACTGGATATCGGCATCCATGCAGGAGTCCTTCCATCAAACTCTTAGCTTTAAAAATGTTGGACAATCCAGTTTTGATCCTTTGGCGCTACTGTCATCACTTCACATATGGAGTGAAACGTCAGTGTTGACATGTCTGACACACAGACTCAGTAAAAATTCTAAGTTTTGGAAGAAAGAGAAAGAACTAAGACGCTAAGCAAAGATTGACTGCTGTTATTGAATTATTATCACCAAAACTTATCTTCAAAAAGTAACAGTGCAGGCTTCATCGTTAGTTGTAGTATTACACATATAGAGTATATTTTTAATATATTCACATCTGTTTGACGACAACTTTCCACCAGTTACCAAAATACAGCAGCATGTTGTGTCTGTATTCAGGAAACTACACCTGAAGATACAACCAGGTACACAGCAGAAAAGAAGATAGTCAGGTTAAGGTCTATAGGAAAGTTAATATCAAGGGGAATGCTGTATTACACAAGCAGGTCACAGGACAGCTACTGTATCAATGGGGCAAGACAAATTGTAGTGGATTTAGGGAATCAGCTTGTAATTCCCAAGGAGACACTGAGCTGAACTCTAAAGCCAGACTCACTGCAGTCAGTTACAGTGCATTGGAGTCTTTGTGGAGCTCATAGTGCCACGGGAAGACAGTAAATGTGACAAATCTTAGGAAAAGATGATGTGTGTCGGAGAGGTAGAGGCAGGCTGGGCTTGAAGCCACTGTTTTGACTGAAATATCTATCCATTTTTGTCATTTCATTGGAACACACATCAGTTAAAGTCTTATCTAATATAAACAGGTTAATTCCCAACTCCTCTTTAGAAATCAGAATGTTTTAACCCTGATAGTGATATTCACTGCAGTCAAGTATCAGGACAGACATGAGTTATTCATTGTTTTGGCTCTCCTTCAACACAGTTCAGTATTTTGAATGAAGCAATGACATACATATTCAAGGGTGCGAAATGCTACAAATTCAACATATTCATTGGTTTTTAGTGTTAATGCCTTCAAATGTAACCTTACAATCTGCCCTTCAACATCATAGAACTCTATTTTATATTATAGAGTCCAACTGTCCCAACATTTACAGACTGTCTCTAGTCTGATTTATGTAATAGGTGATAGGTGAATAAGATATGTACCTTCTTTGTTTGTGAGTTTCTCTCCTAACTTGGTGAGCTTGGCCCGGAGCTCAGAGGCCTGGATGTATCCTTTCTTCTGTTTGTCTGTCATCCTCAAGGCCTCCAGGATTTCTGTCTTGGGGTCTTCCTGTTGCATCTGTCTGTGCATCATTGTCAGAAACATAGAGAAGTCCAGCTCCCCTTTCTTATCTAAACACAAATATAGCACAGAAATTAAGTTTGCGTCATGTTAATAACCAAGAAAAAAATAAGCATGAGTTGACAAGTTTTGACAAGAATTACATTATATTTAATTTTATATAATGGTAATGGGGATTCTTCGATTATATACCCCCCCCAATTATTCCTTAATTATTTTAAGGATCTAGGGAAAGAGGCTGTATAAACTGACACAAATATTTCCCTTTGAGCTCTATGAATAAACCGACTTGATTATTTGTTTGTTCAAAGCAAAAAACCCTTTTTCTTTTAATTTCTTCTGCCTTCTAAAAGCCTGGAACTCAAGGTTTTATAATAACCTAATAATAATATTGAAAAAAATGCTGTACCCTTGCAACAATTGCAGTTTGTAAGCACCAACCAAAATAACCATACTCATACACAATTACAGTTAAAAACAAACACTACCTCCTCTCCTGAATGAAGAGTTCCTTCCTCTGTACTGCACAGTAATGTGTATAAACCCACTGAAGGATGTTAATGAAATACTTTTAGTTTTAGTATAAGACCTATTTTGACTTTTTCTAACTACTGTCAACCTGAACAAGATTTTGCAGCCTTCAAACAAAGGCCCACAAACTGTATGTATTCACTGTATGTTGTGCTTTACCGATTTTGTGAGCTTGTAGATGTCTGTCAATTTCACCAAACGTGGGGCTTGTGCCCAGGCAGCGCATTACTGTAATCAGGTCTTTGGCTTCGATCTTGCCCTTCTGCTTCTTGTCATACAAGGAGAAGCACTCCTTGAATTCTGAAGGGAAATGGAAAAAGTATTGGATCACACCAGCAGTTTGTTTCATTTTATTATTTAGTAAGGGACATTTTTCAATAAAGTTTTGTCCATCATACAAAAGTTAAAATTAACTTCAGACTAATAAGACTAAACAAGGTCAAAATGATCTTTTTCAACATTGTTTTGGTTATTGAAAGGCAAATATAAAGTACATATGAAGACGAACAGCAAATAATACATTTCAAACACCAATATATAAAAGCAATAAATGGAAAACAACATGTGTGCCGTAGAACACTCTTACCATTGATTTGAACTTGTTTGAAGAATTTTGCCTGCAAGGTGACAATAGTTTGGCATCACTTGTCAGGTCAGTACACAACGAAATTGCTGTTACATAAGGAAATATATGAAAAAAGGCTTAATGGAAAGAATTTCTGCTCTTACCATTTTTGCAGTTGGTTTGGCTCTTTCCAGGAAGGAGAGTTTTATGTTGCCCACGTCACCTGTCCCTCCACCTCTGTTTAAAGTCCACCACCTGTAAGCCTCTGCGTAATTTAATATGTGTTGCTGTGGAAACGCAGATACCAGAGCCAAAGTGCTGCATTGTCCTTTCCCTTCCCCTCCCCCTTCCAATAAAAGGAGGCAACCAATTATTACCAGTCAATCACAATATGATACTACAGTGCCATATAATAGAAGGAAGGTTTGTAAATAAATAACGAGATTTTAAATCATTTAACTATTTGTGTTGTCACAAATAAAACGGCAATATGCTCTTTGTAAAGACTTGATTGAAAGTATGTTCAGGGTCAAATAGGGTGTATTAAGAGACAAATTTAAGTAATAACCAGCAGGTAGAAGGTAAATTTCAACATTTTATTTAAGATAAACATAGTAAAATCTAACCAGTAACTGAACAGTATTTTACAAGCAGGAATAATACTGTAAATACACAAAACAATCACAATTTTACATTAAGAACAATAACTGCAAAGAAAAAGATGGCTACTCAACATTTAAAAAAAAAAAAATCAGCAAAGTAACTTGAGAGATCATTGCCATCCATTATCTATAACCGCTTATCCTTTGCGAGGCGGAGGGGGGCTGGAACTGATCCAGTTCCTCACAGGACTGACACATAGTGACAAGCAACCCTTACAGCTCACATTCACACCTACGGCAAATCTAGCCTCGCCAATTAACTTGAATGTCTTTGGACTTTGGCAGGAAGTCGAAACACCCGGAGGGAACCCAGGAAGACGAGGGGAGAACATTCAAACTGAAAGTCCCCAGCTGGCCAGGGGTTTTGAACCATTGACAGTTGAACTCAGAACATTTTTGCTGTGAAGAAGGTACACCATGGTGCCGCCCATTAAGGGAAAACAATGTGTCAATTACAAAAGCAAAAAGAAGAAAAAAAAGAACAAAAAGATATTATAACAGAGAAAAGGTGATACTACAAGGGAGTTTAAAGATCTCTGAAATGTCCAGAAGGTTAACTGTATTGATTTTAAGGAGGGGCTGTATTTATTTCCAGGAGTCAATGGCACTAAAATTTAAAGCAGTTCTGATAAAGCCCATCTGAGTGACAAAGCAATTCTGAATGGTAATATGGTAATTTTCCAATAAGAGCTATACAGATCAAAAAATACCACAGAGTATCACGTCTCTCATGGAAAGAAGACCACCTAACCATATCATATCAAACAGAATGACATGTATCACAGACATTACCGATAATAAATGAGTTAAAGAGTTGAAGAGCAACATAATACAACACTGTATCATCTGCATGACAATTTGCCAAAGACAAACAGTATTGTTGATATAAATAGTGAAAAGAAGTGGACCTAAAATTGAACCCTGTGGAACCCCTCGTTACGAATATGATGGCTTCCCAATTTAAGATTGTTGTCTCTCTCATAGTTTCTTAGCCAATTACATGCATGAATATGAAATCCAATATAATGTAGCCAGGCAATAGTCTACAGTATCAGATGCTTTGAATAGGTCAATTACGACCATAGTAACAACAGCTACAGTATTTGTGTCCCGCTCTAAAACCAGAGTGAAATGGGCTCAAGATGGAAACTCTGGACAGAAATATCTGTAATTGGTCATTTACTAAATTTTCCAGGACCAGGTAAGACAGTTTGCGTACTGGTCTATAGTGGTTAAGATTGCTCTTGTCACCTCCTTTATGTAGGGGTATAACATGAGCCATTTTCCAATCTCTGGATATCTCTGGATATTTCCACATATGAGGAAATAGAAAGCGTTATTTGCTCTGAGATCATTTAAAGAAGCAATCAATCAAAATTGTTCTCTCCTGTACAGTTCCTGAGATCAATAGCAAAGAGAGCCTCTTGAACTACACTTGAATTTATCAAATTAATTTGTATGTCATCTGCTCTTGTTTCTTTGACCTTTTGAATAATGTAAAAGCATCTGTACAATAGACTTCTTTTCATTGTGAAGTCTGTTATACTGTACATTACTGACCCACATGCAATAAAGCATCTTGTCAAAGAAAGTATGTTCTCAATAGGGTTAGGTCATAAAGACCACATGTGGAAATATAATAGCTAAGTGTAGCTGAAAGGGAACAAAAAGGAAATAACCCTTTTGTACTTGGACAAGAGAGGAAGGTGGGGGAAGGAAGAAGATCAATCAGACACACCTGTGAGCAGGAGAAGAGGAATAATAAAAAAACCTAACAAAGGCAGCATGACAGAGGAGTGGAAGTAGCTAAAAGGAGGACATAATTGTGAAGTATATGCTGTTTCTGGGCATATTTCACAAGTGACATATATAAAAGTAATGAGAGTGGGAGCTGCTCCCAAGAACTGGCTGGATTTACTGAATGTTCCTGGACAACAAGGCACTGCTGGAAATAAGCTGATCCTTGGAGTCAGTTTGGTTGAAGCATTGTAAACTGCCTCTCTGGCGTGCTCGGATACAGCATTGGACTCTGTTGGACCAACCAAAACTTAAGATAAGTCTCCTTTTCTGACACTGTCCAGGCATTGCATTTCTTAAACTCTTGCGTAACCTGCCTCAGGGTTATGTACTCTCTCATCCTCCCCCTGATCTTCTGATAAATCATCTTCTGATTATTCTGCTCTATTTTTGATATTAGGAATACATCTACACTACAACAGCTTTCATGTCTAAATTAGCATGGCAATTATACATTTCACCAAAATGTGAAAAGTGTGAAACATTTCATACCTGAGAAAAGTTTTTCTTAAAAAATAAAATAAAATGCAAAAGTTCAGAAACATTCCTCCTTTCCAGAGTTTCTGTTTTTAAATCGAACTTCAAAACACATTTAACTGACCAACAGACCCTGTTTATATAATACTGCTCAGTGATGCTACCATCATACTTTGTTACATTCTCTTTTATCTTGTCTTTGGCTTGGTATTACATATGGCTGTTTTATCTTTTTTACTGAATTTATATTGATTTTATTTTTTTGTATCTAAATTGTTGTTTTGGCTACTTTGAAGCCATTGTTCTTCTAATGGTAGTCCATATCTATATCTTGTTATTGAAGTTTGTGCATCTCGCTTGGAAAGTGCTATGTTGAATGTATTATATATATTATTTTACACAACCGTGTTTAGACAGTACGTCAGGATTAGAATGACTCCCATTGTCTTCTTTTCTTTTTGGAAGCCAGACAGAAACAGCTGTGACTGGCAGACAATTTACTGAACGAACAACACTTCTTCTGAGCTGTTACAGATCAACCTCACAGCATGTAGTCATTGATTTTTCAGTGAATATACCCTACATACAGTATAATAACCTTGAATTTGATTGTAAAAGCTCAACTTTTTCATGCAGTTTAAGTTGGCGTATTTACGTATTTACTAACGGTGAGAACAGTTGATGCCGTTCTCAGGAGACCCGAAGGCCCCAGGTTGTCTGAGTGGCAATTACTTTATCTAAATTTGAATTAATTACAAAATTATTTGTAATAGTCACTAAGGTTGTCCAAAGTATCGATACTTCAATACTTCTTCAATACCACATGTTTTGTGGTTCATTTAAAAATAAAAATTAATAATAAAAAATAATCGTATTTTGTGTGGCTAGGACTTATTTTTCCTGGGGTATTGAAATACGGTATAAAGTATTGGTTTTTACTACTAGTATTGTATCAAAGTTTACATTTCTGGTATCAATAAACCAATGCACCATTAAAGCACAACTCAAATGTTAAAGTCTTACACAGGGGTCCTGTGCCAACATCTAAATGTAATATCTTTTAAAATTTCTGTTGACATTACACTCACAATGGGAAATGTTTGGGGGCTTTAAAAAGAGGACCACAGCCCCCCTTTTGTTTTTAGCAGGTTAATCCCTGCCCTGGTGTCACACCTTCAATAAAAAAACAGAATACTATAATAGTAAATAATTAAATAAAACACATTCCCATTGGGGCTAAACACACACGTAGCCATCTATCACAGATAGACTTACATGAGGCATTGTAAAATAACATTTAAACATTAGATTTAAAAAAAACATTTCTGAGAAAAGGCTCAGTTATTCCTGCTAACCTGCTATATGTGACATGCAGTACTGGCCTAATGTCTCAGATCTCAAGTCAGACATATAAAGTAACATTTCACCTTTTGAATTTATGGCTGAAGGCAGCAGGACCTTGTGTTTAACAGTGAGGTCGTTGCCCATTATCACATCATCAGTATTGACGTCATTCTGAGTGCTGCCACAATCTCTGTCACAGGAAATCTGCAGAAGAAAGAAAACATGCATCAGTCAGTTCATACAAACATATGACATTCAGAAATATTTTTTCTTCAAACAGAGAGGTATACAGACCTGGGCAGATGTTATTCAGTGGCTCTTGATGTGTAATGTGTAGTAGGACCAGGGTTCTGGCACGTAAATGAGCCCAGGGTACTTGTTGCGCAGCACTGGGTCATTCCACAGATAGACCACCCACAGTGCCACCAGAAGCACAGTACCACTGAAACTACAGAACAGGAACAGGCCGTTGCTGTCTGGGCTGAGCCCTTTACGCTGTTGATATATCACCATGGCAACCATGGCAAGGAAGGTGATGAGGAAAAGTTCAGTGATTTGTCCCTCTGTGACCAAGTACCTTGAAGAAATAAAAGTAAAAGCAAGAGATGTCATAAACCCAGAGAGAAATACTAACGTTTAATCAGTCACTCGTTACAACTGAAACCTTTGCAATAACCACATAATACGACTATATATATATATATACATAGGAAACTGTTTTACAATGAAAATGTTCACTGCTTTAGGAGTCATAGCTTTTATAAAGGGCACATTTTTTAGGTTTGTGACGACGATCAACGCTCCTCTCCTCAATTTGAATTTCTGCACTAAGTGAAGATGGAAATAACAGAGCTTGTTATGTTCCCAACAAAAGAAACCACCCAGTGCAACTCATTAATTTCATTTCCAAAAACACTTAAATTGTTCCAGCCAGTTAACATTGTGATATAAATTGCTTTCATTTTTAAGCAACCTCAAGTTGTAATCAACATCACATTACACTCTGTTTACTGTCCATCATCTGACAAAAGAAGGAAATGCTCTGTCTAAAACATGCTGCTGTACACTTTCACATTCACATTGTCACATTCATACCTTTTTGGGACAGCAATTAATTCTAAAAATAGATGGGACAACCTAAAATTTGCATGTAAATGTTCCCCTAAAAGAAGTTTAAATATGAGGCTTTGAGTGCAGAATGATTAGGGTACACATTAGTTAGTCAATGTTAATGCCAATGTAATTACCCTGTTAGTCCTGCAAATTTACACATCTTTATCTCACTGTATAATTTTCATTGTTATGTTTATACTGTTTACATATGTCTATTTTTGTAATTTTTTCATGTCAAAGATAACCTTTCATTCACTCTTGAACAAAAACGCTACAAGTCATGTATTCATGGAAGCACACAGAAGGTTTTAAAAGACATGAGGAGGAGACTGACCAGTAGTAGAGGGCGCTGGGTCCCAGCAACAGCCAACCAGAGAGAGGAATCTTCTTCTGTTCTTTGGCCTTGGTAAAGCAGCCGGTGAAGTAGATGAACAGAATGATGAAGAAAGGAATATACCTAAAATAAAACAAGAGGCCGTAACTGTACAGTAGACCAACACATTCAAGTTACATTCAAGTAGGTCTTTGTAAAAGATGTACATGTACATGCGTTTTATTTGTGTAATTCCACATAAATTGTTAAAAGGGATCTATTATGCTCACTTCCAGCTCTTTATTTTTATTCTGGGACTCCACTAGAGTATGCGTATGTTTTTATTTACTAATTTCGGTGAAACTGCATTATATTTTAATGGAGAAAATAATTTGTAGTGTTTCCACTAATGTCCTCTGGATGCTCTGCCTCAACTCTCCCGATTTACGGAGCTCCCAGTCCGCGCTAATAGGACAGCTAGCTGCATGGCTAACTGAGCAAACTAGTTAACAGCAGCGACAGTTAGCATCCGTTTGCAGTTACTTTAGCAACAAGTAAAGCTATTTGTCCATCAGGAAACTCCATAGATCACAGAGAGCAGAGGCAAAGCAGCTGGAGGAAATCAGGGGAAAACCAGAAAATATTATATTTTATACTATAAATGATATATTCATAAACAAAAATGCTCTTCATGCGAGACATATGGAACAACCTCCAAAACTTAGAGTAGTCCTAAGTAGACTGGGCGAATAACTGAGACAGACTGAGCTAGTTGTACTTCTTGGGCATACTGTGCCTGGTGCAGATGATCATATAAAGAAGCATAAAGTAATAAACGACAGAAAAAAAAAGAAAGCATAATAGATCACCTCTCATTTGACAAAAATCCTAAGAAAGACCCTCAACTCGACTCAGCTTAAGGCCAGCGCCAGCACGATCTCTAAAATCTTGGCCGGGCAACAGCTGAGCCAAAACCATTTCACAAACCTCTCAGGGCTGACTGAGAAAAATAATGATTTCTTTTCTCTCTGAAAATGAAGTCAGTGTGTTTTGGACAGAGAAGGTTGTACTGATATTTGTTTCTCAAACTGAACATCTTAGAGAATAATTATTAAATAATATTGTACCATGGCTGTAGGAAATGTTCTAACTGACAATAGGTTTCAGTTCAAATCAGCACATCAGGACACCTGAAACAGTTCAACTTGACAGTTAAAAAACTGTTAAAAATCTGTGTATTAAACTGCAGGTAACTATAGTAACAGTGCTCACACCGAACTCTGTATTACCAGTTTTACTGTAAAACTAAATAAACCAACTCGGGCTGAAACGGTATTTTGTTATTTTATACCAACGTCACAAATCATCTGAAGATGTCATTTTTGACTGTGAATTTGTGATGATTTTTTTTTACATTTGATAGACTACGCGATTAATTGAATAAATAATCAGCAGATTAATCAATAATGAAACAAGTTTTTAGCTGGAGCCCCAAAGCCAACTGTGGATTAAACTGACTATAAAAAACAATTTTAAAGTCTGCCCGTCATTCCTTCACTAATCAACTCAGTGAATGAAATGTGACTCCAACTACAGTGGGTACGGAAAGTATTCAGACCCCTTTAACATTTTCACTCTTTGTTTCATTGCAGCCATTTGCTAAAATCAAAAAAGTTCATTTTATTTCTCATTAATGTACACTCAGCACCCCATCTTGACAGAAATGTAGAAATTTTTGCAAATTTATTAAAAAAGAAAAACTGAAATATCACATGGTCATAAGTATTCAGACCCTTTGCTGTGACACTCATATTTAATTAACATGCTGTCCATTTCTTCTGATCCTCCTTGAGATGGTCCTGCTCCTTCATTGGAGTCTAGCTGTGTTTAATTAAACTGATTGGACTTGATTAGGAAAGGCACACACCTGTCTATATAAGACCTTACAGCTCACAGTGCATGTCAGAGCGAATGAGAATCATGAGGTCGAAGGAACTGCCCAAGGAGCTCAGAGACAGAATTGTGGCAAGGCACAGATCTGGCCAAGGTTACAAAAGAATTTCTGCAGCACTCAAGGTTCCTAAGAGCACAGTGGCCTCCATAATCCTTAAATGGAAGAAGTTTGGGACGACCAGAACTCTTCCTAGACCTGGCCGTCCAGCCAAACTGAGCAATCGTGGGAGAAGAGCCTTGATGAGAGAGGTAAAGAAGAACCCAAAGATCACTGTGGCTGAGCTCCAGAGATGCAGTAGGGAGATGGGAGAAAGTTCCACAAAGTCAACTATCACTGCAGCCCTGCACCAGTCGGGGCTTTATGGCAGAGTGGCCCGACGGAAACCTCTCCTCAGTGCAAGACATATGAAAGCCCGCACAGAGTTTGCCAAAAAACACATGAAGGACTCCCAGACTATGAGAAATAAGATTCTCTGGTCTGATGAGACCAAGATTGAACTTTTTGGCGTTAATTCTAAGCGGTATGTGTGGAGAAAACCAGGCACTGCTCATCACCTGCCCAATACAATCCCAACAGTGAAACGTGGTGGCAGCATCAGGCTATGGGGATGTTTTTCAGCCGCCGGGACAGGACGACTGGTTGCAATTGAAGGAAAGATGAATGCGGCCAAGTACAGAGATATCCTGGAAGAAAACCTCTTCCAGAGTGCTCAGGACCTCAGACTGGGCCGAAGGTTCACCTTCCAACAAGACAATAACCCTAAGCACACAGCTAAAATAACAAAGGAGTGGCTTCGGAACAACTCTGTGACCATTCTTGACTGGCCCAGCCAGAGCCCTGACCTAAACCCAATTGAGCATCTCTGGAGAGATCTGAAAATGGCTCTCCACCAACGTTCACCATCCAACCTGACAGAACTGGAGAGGATCTGCAAGGAAGAATGGCAGAGGATCCCCAAATCCAGGTGTGAAAAACTTGTTGCATCATTCCCAAGAAGACTCATGGCTATAGTAGCTCAAAAGGGTGCTTCTGCTCAATACTAAGCAAAGGGTCTGAATACTTATGACCATGTGATATTTCAGTTTTTTCGTTTTTAATAAATTTGCAAAAATTTCTACATTTCTGTCAAGATGGGGTGCTGAGTGTACATTAATGAGAAATAAAATGAACTTTTTTGATTTTAGCAAATGGCTGCAATGAAACAAAGAGTGAAAAATGTAAAGGGGTCTGAATACTTTCCGTACCCACTGTATATCCCTGGTTGCCTTTAAACCAATATTCTTTAGAACTTGTCAGATTTTTGGCCAGCTTATATTATAACTCAGTATCAGTGTATATGTTTGCAAATGAGTGTCAACAAATGGCAGTACAGAAACGCCAAAGACACGTTTGAAGTAGCTCAGAAACAGTGTGGTCGTTGCTTAGTTTGTCCACCAGAGAGCACTGACAACTGTGTCCAGTATGTGTGTAAAATGTCTGTACCTATCTTGGTCACAGTTACAATGGTCCCTGGCCTTGCACAGTGTCAGACTAGGAACATTGTGGTTATATGGCATACATCCCCTATCCTAATTTACATAAATACACTTTTAATGGATTTAATCAGAATTTAATCTGAGGCAGTATCTTAACACACTGTCATCATTTGATAGCATATTGTTTTGCTAACTCAGTCTGTGTGTTCTGCCTGGAGGTGCAATATTCAAACCACACACACAACACAGCAGCATCATCCAGTGCAAACTGAAATTCTGTCAGCGCCAGAGTAAAAACATTCTCCTGGGGCGTTATCAGCCGATTGAGGCATAAAACTAAAGGCATACGCACGTAACAAGAAAAAGAAGGAGAGATATACCTCTTCCACTTGCTGCTCGCCCCAAATCTTTGAAAAAAAAAAATATTTCAATAATTTATTTTGTTATCAGACCAAATTGATTCTGCTTCTATTTTCCAGCATGTTGTTGGATTTATTTTCTAGTCAGAACACTCAGATTCACACAATTGGCGTAAACTGTCACCGCTGACCTCCTCAGTTTGCTCATCCTAAAATCAGTTTTGTATTTAGATGGAAAATAGATGGAATATATTCCAGCACACTGATACCTGGCTATAGTTATAGCCTCCACTGTATTAAAATTGTCTGAATCTATACCTTTAGCTCTTTAATTGATTTCTTGCATCCATGTGTTTTCAAAAGACACAAAATCCATCATTCACAATCACAATCAGATTTAAACATAAAGAGGTTAACAAACACTGGTTCACAGCAAAACACTCTGCTACATTCCAGTAATTTCCAAGCACTTTATATGCAGTATATATACAATAATTATCATGAACACATACCACATTAAGTGTCCCAGCTGTTCATCATAATAATACAGCAGCTCAAAGGAGTCAATCTGTGAAGGAAGGACACAAAGGCTGAATTAGTTGAAACTCATTACAGCATTAACAGGTATGTTATTCTGCAGCGGTAGAGAAGCGCTGTGGTGCTCCATTCTGCCTTATGCAACAGTGCCACCTACTGTTCTGGTACCGTTTACATTTTAATAAGGCAATATGTAGAAATCTACAGAAGGTGGCAAATTACAGGACAATCCCTAAATAAATGAGTGGAGAAACGTAACAAATGCATATAAGCATCTTCCATACTCAGTGTCTGAGTATGAAAATAATGTGACTCTCAACTTGAGAGTGATCTATCACTAAAATGAACACAATAATAAATGCATTACACACACAAGGGGCACAATATGCATATTATTGCTGACAAACAAGTCAACCAACGACTCAGAGATCAGACGCAAGGAAACCTAACAGGCCCTATTACATCTGTTGTGATGGTTTCTGTGGGTTTATATGTTCTTAAGTATTGTTATTGTCAGCTTTATGCCTGTCAAACTAATTTATGAAACATTATGGAAATTAGAAATGTCCAATACTCTTCTGGGTTAAAAGAACCACAGATGATACACAGCAAGACATCTGCTAGAGAAACCTGATTTCTTGGTCTGGTGCAGTATAGTCACAACTCTGAAAGCATCGGCAGTGAGGTGGGATGAAACAATTATTTCTTGTAGCTGTGTATCCTTTTATCGAAAGAAAAAAATACAAAGTCTGACTAAAACTGATCTGAAACTAAAAAAAATCTAGATAAGTCAGTTCATGTTGGTTTTTCAGTAAACTGGTTTTTGCCGTACATCTAAACATTTAATTTATGGCTTTCACCTGATTTCTCTCTGCATGTGGTTGCTGCACTGGTAGAAGCAGTAGAGAGATACAACAAGATATTAACCTTCAAAAATTGAAGTCAAACCAAGCCAGTGCTTACAATCTTAACATCAAACATACAATAGTGACCCTATATACTGTAATAGTTCTGTCTCTTTCTATTCTGACCCAGATATGCCATACATCAACCTATAATGTCTTGTTGACAACGACATCATTGTCAAAAGTACGACGCTGTGCGTTTCCCCCGGAAATCATGCTGACAAAAAAAGATGTGATAGAAATGAAGGAGCAGAGAGAAAAATAAGCTACACTCCCACACAGCTGGATCAATTCTGCTGGATCAAACAAGTGTCACAATACAGATATATTTTGTGTGGTATGTTGTCAGCTTGTGTCACACGCAGACAAGAAAAACTAATTTCAACTCACTGAACTGTCACCAGAGAGTCGTGGCAACGCAAACAGATTTGATAGGTGATAATAAACAGCATATATTGAAGACATTAAACATTAAAAAGGATATCTAACAAAATGTTGACCTTTTTTCTAAGGATATTCCAGTATTCCCAGCATGCCCATTATGGGATAAAGCTACTGTGAGGTAGATACAGTAGATATTTACCAGTGAGGCAGGTTTGAGGTCTTTGATGATGGGGTTCTCTCTGACTGACAGGTGGAGCTGGTAGCCACTCAGGATGAGCCGGTGGTTGATGGAGTCCCCCACCAGGTGGATGCTGGCTCCCATGACAAAAGTGATGATGCAGAGGTAGACCGCTGAGCGGGGCAGCGCCCTGGGACTGCGCTCAATCAGCTGAATGGAGCAGCAACACACACATTCTGTATTATACTAACTGTATCTAGTTGACATTATCCATTGCTATTTTTTTTATTATTTTGGTAGCATCTTTAGGAATGTATGCATAATACATAGCAAGTAGCTTATTTTAGTTTAATAACAATCACAAGCATAAAAAGCCAGTGTATTTTTTTGGTGGCATTTATTGCCTTTAATTAATAGTGACAGCTGTAGAGTGACAGGAAAGTGGGGAGAGAAAGAGGGGATGACATGCAGCAAAGGCCCAAACCCAGTTCTACCAGGTGAGCTACCATGGTGCTCCAAAGCCAGTGTTTCATCTCAGATATTTCATTCTGTTTTCAGCCCATTTCTCCATTTTCTGCAGCTCTCAGTGAGTGCTGCGCTGTGGACGACACCCAGGAATTAATCCCCAGATCTTGCTTGTGTGCCTTGAAAACCAGGTATATCTCTTTGGGCTACCCTCTTACTATTTGGCGTGTCAAGTGTCAATATAGTTTTAGAAACATCAGCCATAGAAAATTTTTTACTGTCAAATCAAAAGGGGCCGGCATCAGTCAGACAGCTGAGACTTAATAATCTGCTAATCTACAGAATTTGTTGTGAGCATTTATTTTCTTTCTTCGTATCTCCTCGCAGAAGTACGCATGAGAATATACAACACATGAAGTGGTCTATAATGGGTTATCTGTAATTATAATTATGTAATAATATGTAATACTGATAAAAATACTGACCAAGAGATCTGTCTGGAAATTGTATGAGGAGTTTAAGGTTTTTCTGCATAATTAACATGCAACAGTCGAAGGTTATCTTGCTTCCTGTATGTGTGATGAAGCCCCTTAAAGCAACTGGTTGTGCTGCAAATATTCTTTATATTATTCATATAAATACCAAGGACAGCAATGTAACTACTATATTTGTGCTCTTTGTCACTAGTAGTAATTATCCATGACGGGGTTAATTACACTGATCTGTTGATTGGTTAGTATATACTGTATGGACTTTCATAAAACATAATTTATTTATTAAGTTTATCTTTATTGTCTCATACTGAATAAATCACCAAAGCACTTTGTTGTGTTAAGACCTACCTTGAGCATTAGGAAAGGTGTAATGACATTGTATGCCATGTGGAAATAGTCTCCAGCACTGGGCTTGTTGAGGGGAAACCACTCCAGAGGAAGGATAATCTAATACATATGAGAAATTGGTGTTAATTGCGCCATAAAATGTTGTGTAACTATCCATCGTATATTTTTTGCACTATTTAGGACTGCATGAGGCAAGCGAAATGGTCATTGAGCCTCCTTACCATGACAATAGGCCTTCCAAAGTCCAGGATCCAGTTCTGCAGAGTCAGGCAGAACCACAGGTCGAAGTGGAAGTGCTGCATTTTCTTCTGTGGCACATTTTCCTTCAAACCACCAGCAGCGCTGTCAACACACATTTACAGTGAGTGTCATTATAATAAAGCAACATTACAAAAGCAAAGGTCAGCACAGAGGTCGAGTGTTTAATTGGCACTTGGGAATACTGGAGTAAAGTAATGGTTTACTATGGTGTTTACTACTGCAGTCAACCAGGGTTAAAACACAATGGTTCCTTTTAATGCTGTTTTACTTAAAATAGACACAGAAATTACACATATCTATTTCATGGTACTGTCTAACTTGCAATGCTTTTTACTTACCTATTTTATTACTATGTAAAATGTTAGGTCACATCCTTTATATCACAAGTAACAAAGCACTTTGCTTAGCCATAGTGATGTGTATACAAAGATTTGCATGTACAGATCAAATGGAAATATAAGTAAGTAAAGTATTTTCACTTATGTGTTCATATATTTTAGCAGACTATAGTAAACAACAATAGAAAATGGCACAATATAGCGTATAAACAAATATCATCATACACTTTTAAGTTCATAGTTAAATTATTGGATGTTTGCCTTTATAAAAAATGGGGAGCTGTTTCCTTCTGAAATCACTGTCAGATGATGTTTGCGACAGCAGCTGTGGATTTGCTGACCTATTCAAAGTTGTGCAGTTTCCTGTTCCACGCCGAACACAGTCACTGTGGTTCAGCATATGTACCAAGACAACAAAAGGCTGAATACACCGCGGGTCCGTCAGGCCTGCCTGTCAGGTCAGGCAAAAGGAATACAGGCTGTTTGTCAACACCAGCAAAACAGACGGACTACAAATAGAGCTATTACGCCCCATGTCTGCCTGAAACGCCGCTCTTGTCATTCAAATATCCATACAGCATTTAAGGACGGAAACATGGGTCATGAAATTGCAAACCCTATGTCCAAATCAGAAGCTTGTTATGTGGTCTTATTATCTGGACATGTGTCATATTATAAATGCCAGTGATTGTTGTTCTGCATTTTTGATGTCTCTGTCTGTCTTAAATTGCTCCAAAGTACCAGTTGCTGAGATGAAATGTGAGGCCTCAAGGTTGAGGAAAATGAAAGTGCTACGGTGACTTTGGATTTTGATTATATAGTAAATATTTGTGCATTAATATATGCAGTCTTTTCAAAGATCTCTGACAGGGCTTGTGTGTGTTGTGTTGTTGCTGCGTTGTGTGTGGGTGTATGTGTGTGTGTGTGTCCCGTTGTATTAAGTTGGAGTTTGTGATTCTCTCTACAGCTTATTTAGTATTGCCTTCAGGCAGCAATGCAGCCACCATTTTCAGTTCAAATCTGTGTATATTAACAAAGGAGTATCTACTCCCCAGGTGATCTAAAATTGAAGCATTATCATAAGGTATTATTTTTATTATAGCTGTTTTGTGGGTTTTTTTATTTAGCAGAATTCCCTAATTGACACCTAGCTTTTGCAAATGTGGCGTTGTTGTTACTGTAGGCCTTTTAACTCATTAATGGAGTAGCTTATATTCATCATAAAAAATCCTATAGCTATTACTTTGCGATGTGATGCACTATTAGTGTGGAAATTATCATTTTTGCATCACAAATTCATTTTTTTTTTAAAACTTTTAAAATCATGATGATCAATTTGTTGGGGTCTGTACAAATGAACATGTTTTCCTACATCTGGAGAACAAGGCCAGAGCATCTCTGCAGCAGTACTGTACTTCATTATAATGCTATTTTGTCACACAAATGTATCCAAAAATTGCAGCTTAGGCAATTTTAATAATATTTTGAATAATTGTACAACCTTAATGCACGCTGTCCAATACTGCCTTCACTCTTTCACAATTTTTCCAGCACAGTGAGGGCAGAAAAAAAACACTCAAACCATTCACAAACCAGGAAGGGAGTGCAGCTATTTACAGCTCCTATGGACCCACAACTCGCACGCCTACAGGCTTCACAGAGTTCACTGGAAATATAATAAAGAATACTGTGAAATGCCTTTCAATATTAGCTTCTAGAGTACGAAGCGACCGGTCATTAACTAAGTTAAGGAAGAGGAGCTAAATGGCCAAAGACTGTCTCCAAACAAGAGGATGTAACCACCACCAGCATCGTATCTCTAGCTTGTCACATGACCAACCGGGTGTTGTTGCTGTTAAGTCCCAGTTTATTAACCACCAACAGCGACAAGTCTTGACAGTTAAAATAATCCAGCTATCAGTTAACATGAGCTCAGAAGTTAAATTGAGATTTCCGAGTGGAGACGTTGACACTTCGCGCTTGTTCGCTTTCATTCGCGCGTCCAACCGTTGACTCTGCGCGCAGTCGCGGCGCTTACGCAGGCGAACAAGCAGCAGAGCGAACTGACCGGTAACTAAGGGTTACCAACCAAGTTAATTTCCACTACTTCTGAACTTCGGGAACAAACACTTTAATAACAACTAACAACAAAGCAACGGCTACAAAGGTAGCAAAAAACAAAATAACTTTAGCCTTTAACTTACAAACCTAGTTTGTGTTGTGTGTAAATCTTTGCCTCGACGTTTTCGTGTAGTCATTTTGACGTCTTTGCTCCGTTATCGTTGGTGTAGCTAACGTTACCTCTACGGTACTGACCGCCTGCGGTAACAAACGCCAGTTAACGTCTTCACTTCCTTGTTGTCGCCTTCTTCCCGCCCAACCGCCGAATCCACCAATCACATTGCAGGAGAGGAGTCCGACGTAGGCATATTTACCGACTTCAAATCAAATCACAAAAAAAAAAAAAAAGACATAAATGTTTTAACATTTTTAAGTTATTTGTCATTTGATGTTAAATTTAATAAGAATCAATTAATATATTTGTACAAAATAAAAACTGCTCTACTTAGAGAAAGGATGAAACGGAGTAAACTGTTGTGCTTGCTGTTGTTATGGTTACAGTAAGTGTGTAAAATCCTATAAAAACGATAATATCTTGTACTGCAATTAAAACAGGCAGGTTCACAGGTAACTTACAGTCATTCATTTAAAAACTGAAGTTAAAGAAAAATACAATTTGCAAATATTAATTCTAGTTCATTATTCTGAATTTATAATTACACTTTTAAAAGTTGCTTTAGATTTTGCTTTTCATTCTGTGTGTGCTTTACAGGCCTGGATTGTCTCCCCAATCAATTTGTGTTACCAATTAGTTTAACTTCAGCCGAAATGTACCCCTAATTGACAGTAGCCTATATATAAGCTCAACCTGTTATCTCTACTATGTCCAACCATTAGACTACCTAACTTAAGCCTGAGCATCAACCCCACAAGAGGGGGGGGATCAGTGTATGAAACACAGTTAGAAAGGGGGAGACAATGCTGGTGACATTACTGGTGTTTTCCAATTATCTGCCTGAGTAGCTCCCTCCTCAGGTTGACTCTGGGCGGTGCCATATGCTGGGAATTACATGAAGTCAACCAAGTGAATGTACCAATAACAATAATAAAGGTGTAAGTTGCCTCGCCTCAACAGGTGCAGCATGAAAACAGGTCTAAACAGGCCACACAACACTTGTGTGAGTGAACAATGGGTGTTTAACATGTGCAGTGTCTGAATTAATTAATTTATATTTGATTATATTAGTTAATTTTAATGAAACACTACAAATATATTATTATTCCAGCAGCATACATTGCATTATAGTAGCTATGGTTTAATGCCCTGCAGTGTAGAGACATTTAGTATAGAGATTTCTGATTTAATTTGGCCTGAAATCACTGAACACACATGAAATAAGCACAAAATACTACAGTTAAAATAAAGTAATTTATAATGTAATCACAATAGGAGACACACAAATCTTATACAAAAGATCGGCCAACTTTTATGATGTTTATGAGACAAAGAAGTTCTTGTGATTGTCTGTCTGTCCTAGTTAAGTTACTTTCGTCCGATTATTATTATTATTATTATTATTATTATTATTATTATTATTATTATTAACACGTGAAAAGTTGAAATCTGTTTCTACTCAACAGAGAGGACCCCTTCTCCGAGGGTCCTGAGCCTCTGGGCTTCACACAAGAGGAACAGAGCAGAGACCACCAGTATTAACAAAGTCTAATACAAAAGATAAAATATACATTTGTGTTGTTTTTACCTTTTTGATTTGTCGTAATAGAACAGGTGTTGCTAATAACATTAATGATGGCTCAATTGTATTCAAGTGTCCCAGTACGCCATGACATGCGACCGTGAAACTGAAGCAGGTAAATGGTAATTTTATTATTTACACCTGTGCTTTTCTTACTATTCTCTGTTTATGTCTCTGTCTGGGTCTACTAACCCTTTACCACAACATTATTTATTACTTTATAGTATGTTTGATGATGGTTGAAACATGTTTACACAGCATCTATTTCTATTATTGCATATTCTGGTTTTATTCTGGATATTTTGAATCTTATATGTTTGATGTATGTTTCTTTAACTTGTAGTCTATTATATTTAAGACTACAATTCCCTTGATGTCTAGCCACATAAGCTCTACTGGTTGACACAAGTGTTCTGCATTAAGGCTAATCAGTCTATGTTTTTCACTGCTGCTTTCACTGGCTATCAGTCTTTGCATTGAAGAAGGTTTTTTGACCAAAAGTTCATAAAATATATAAAATTTTTACACAGATTTGGATGTGCAGATGCTTTTATTCATTGTGTTTGATAGTGTTTAGCTCAAGCACCTCAGTTGAGTCTGCTACCATATGAGCAGTGTTTTTTTCTTCTGTTAATTATAATATTTATTAAGCTTTCCTATGAATGTCTGAAGGAAATTTTCCTGATAAACATTGTGTTTTTGTTTTTATGATATCGCTGTTGTTCACATACTTTATGCTTAATGAATCGATGTATTCCCTATGTTAAAGTCATGTGGTAACTGAGTTGTGGCTGAGTTGCCCACTGGGTTTAGCATGGAGGGGTGTTGTATAAGTGTATCTGTATCACGAAGGAATATACTGTATGTGTAGAGATGTTAGTAGGATTATGTGGTGGACAGATGACGTAATATGAAGGATAATAGAAGAACAACATGTTTTAATGTGTCATGAGTAGTAAGAGAAGGGTTGGACAACAAACTGAGTAAAACGTGTGCTTCCTGTTGTTATGGTTACAGTAAATGTGTGTAAAATCTCTGGTTTAAGGCTCAGTTTTCTATATTTTATCACTCACAAAAAAAATTTTAAACCAGATTTGTGGAAATACTATAGATATGTGTCCAATCTGTGATACAATAAAATGTTTGTTTCTTAGGTACAGTGAAGTCAATGTGTTTTAGTGCCATTTTAAGTGTTCTAAGTATAGTTTGGTGATTATTGAGCTATTGTTGTGAATTGCAATTATTTTAGCCAGGACAATTGTGACATTTTCATATTTTCCATTGCATAATAGCGTATCCTGGCATTTAATTGCTGACTCCGCACTGCATGAGGCAAGAACAGATTTTTCAATTTCCACAACAAATCCATTATTAAGGTTAACACACAAGTAACCATAGCACATGTAACCGAAGTCATTCTTTTTGATTACAGTCATTAGAGGATGCAATTAGTCCAGCGAGACTGTGCCTGTATGAATCCGAGGGAATTAAATGATTTGTGGTCTCTAAGGAGCTACTAGGAAACCAAAAGCTGGTCTTTGTTTTAAAGTCTCCGGCTCACAAATATGCATTAACTACACAGTCTCAATTAATTTTTCAGCATAGTGAGTAAAATACCTGTTTTTATTTTCTAAGAGAACGACTTCACATTCCTCGCTGCCTCTGGGAGGATTGCAGTTAGCAGATGTTTGGTATCCAATGATTCCTATAGGAACTCTGTTTTTATAGATTTTAAATATAAGACAAAATCTTGCCTCTTAATTCTTTCTTTCATTTCAACAGAATTATACGTCTAGCTAGAGAAACAAATGTGGAGTTAGCCTGTTCTCTAGATAAAGGCAAATCCTTTTGGACAAGACCAAAAATGACTATATAATGACAGGAAATAATATTGGCACATGAACCAGTTATTTAAAAAGTGCAGCAGTAGTTAAGTAGTGGACCCAAACCCAACTGAGGCTCAGTTTCTAATTGGTTATTAATTGGAAATCCTTTTTACCTTTCTCACCTTTTTAAAGTTCAGAACATAATTCTAGCACTCTGTCAAGCTCTTCCAAATTAAATAATTATTGTGGAAACCTAAAAATAAGTTCTGTTGGTAGAAACTATTTTTGCAGAGATTAAAGTACCAAAAAGTTATTATTGAAAAAAAAAAGAATTAAATCCATAAAACTCCCATTAACATTACAAAAATGAATAAAAGCGCATTGACAGAAAAGCTTCATATTCCTGATGAGACTAGTGATTAGTTCCAATAACATTTAGATGGTTAAATATTAATATTAATGTCACACACACAGTGAGGTGAGGCACACAAGCTTACACACACGTATCATGTATGTAGCTCCCAATGCAGTAATGAGCAAAAGTCTAACAGCATTTTGTCTTGTGTGTACATTTAATTAAACCTCGCTCTCTTTCAGCCTGATGAAAGCTCGGTGAAATGTGATTGGCAGTGTAATTATCCTGTGACCACAGTACAGCTTGGTCACAGGTTGATGAAACACATGCTTTGACATGCAGAGTGCATACAACCCTGCTACAAACCTCCCAACTATTTTCGATCTGTGTGGAGCAGAATAATAGCTCTTAATTAAAGTACCTTCGATGGCAAAGCAAATATATTCATGTGGGTGTTTACCTTCAGGTACAGCGTGTTTATGCAGCTCATGTTCCTGTAAAGGAGGGTAAACAGTTACATACAGGTCACATATGAGATAAACTTTAAACTTTGAGTGAGTTTTCACAGGATGAATTAAATTAATAGTTTTAGTCTGTGTACCTTGCAGAGCAGATATTACTGCACTGACAATCTGTTGTTAATTTTTTCTTTTTAACTATTTTGAAACAGCATTTTACAGTATTACCCAAGAGCACCAGCTCATATTCCTGCAAATTGTATTAATTATCAATTTCATTTTCATTTTTAATTCTTCATGTTTTTATGCTTTTTGCATTCTGCGATTCGTTGGGTATTTCTCTCTAATCCAGTCATATGCTGGAGGGGGAATTGTTCCCTGCATTGTTTATTGCTGATTAAAAGAGCTCAAAAATGTTTGCAGTGCCAGCAAAATAGACTGATAAACAAGAGGGGGGGAAAAAAGAGTCCATGCATTAACTAATTCTCTAAATGTAGTTGTAATTCTGCTCATTGACCAGCAGATGTCCCTTTGTTTTGCAAAAGCTCGTTGATTGTGGATCAAATGATGCTGTACAACTTTTTCAGCATCCCTGTGCACCCCCTTCTAACTCTTATATATATAATATATAATATATCTGAAAAAAGAGGCAAATCAACCATTAAATGAATATAAAGCAGAAGAAAATTGCAGTTTACAAGCATATGGGGGGGCTATTGTCCTGATATAGTTCTTTCTGGGGTTCGGATCTTTTCAATTTAGTCTTAAATACTTAAATACATAAAATATGAGGAATTGTTAGGGATTTTTAAAATTAATTTCGGTAATAGTTAACAATTTACAAAAGAGAAATAACTGATAAAACATGTATTTGTTGCTACAGGTAATAAAATCGTTGTGCATCAGTTATTTA